GTGATGTGTCCGAAAGGATAACTACCGACTACCCAATCATCATTCGATGTGCCGCCAGGAACGGCGATGGTATGTTTCTGATGAGACGTTTTGTGTGATGTATGGCAAATTGGTGATATCCCATCTGAAATCCTCAATAATCGACTATCCTCGACCAGCACCGCCTTGTGGATCAGAGTTACGGGCACAGCGCTCACATGCGTATGCACGTATCTACAAGCCAACCCACAGAATGGCTTGTGAGATTATGTGATGTTCAGAGTACGTTAACTCACCCTCAAACGCAGGTGACCCCGTTTGATTCCTAAATAAAATTGTTAAATAAGCTGGGTTGGTTGATTGAAACATGCAATGTACCCCTTTGAAGGAGCGTTGCATAGATTTGCGTGTATTGACGTGCAGTACTGTGCTCTACCAAGCTTAGGTTGAGCAGCTAGAACGGTGCGGTGTATATCGTTTCGGCTTCATGTGAAACCCTTCAAATCTAAAGTAAATCCACCAATTGTAATCTACTGGAATCACGCACATTTTCGTTGTCACATGTGACTGTTGGCCTGGGACCATCACAACGCCCATCCTCTTGGATTGAACTATCTTTCCCATAAACACACAAAAGTACTTTTGCATTTGAGTTAAACAATGTGGACCAAAGTTTCGATGAGGTGAGGTCTGACAGATCGATCAACCGTTCAAGCTGCACCCTTAACCGTTGATCGAGTGAGCTTATTACGAGAATAAACGAACCGCGTTTTAACTGACCTCGATTGGTCGGATAAGAGGAAGATTCCGGTCAAGATGGACCGGGAAATCGATTATCATGCTCAAACGTGAACGTTCACTTGAATTATGCCATGAACCGGTTCATCCTGGGCCCCCAAATAATACGGTAAGTTTCATTGAGGATCCTTTTCATTTCATCGATTCTTTTGAAAAAAAGGGTATGTTCGCTTTGGGTAAGGAAAGGCACGGTTTACAAGATGCCTAACAATGGAAATCTTATACGGAGAAAGAATTGGCAGCATTTCAGTTGCATAGTAACAGTAAGTCTGACCATCCATGGATCTCGTGTTAGAAACTCTGACCTCGTTTACTGGCCACCAGAAATTAGATTTGTCCACTTTAGTTCACGCACTGACTGCTTACTGTATATTATCTACAATACAACATGCCGACACCTACAGCTTCTCTTTTCATTGCTCAACTTGGCCAAATCGTTTCTCATTGTTGTGGCTTCATTTATCATCCTAGTTGTATAGTATGATTGCGTTTCTTCTACCCCGACAGTTCAGTGAACGGGAGTGAAGGTGATCGGAATAACTCACAGTTATCTATGATCCTATAAGTAATGGTAACTTTGTCCCGGTGCTTCACGCTATATTCAAAATAAATAAATGAATCGAATTTTCAACCAATGGTTGTCTTATGATCATCAAAGTTCTGTAGCTTAGTGATGTGTTGTCTTCATTGAGTAATTCATGAAGAATCTTGGAAACAGTACAAGCGACATCCGCAGTATTATCACTGTGACTTTTCTCCTATCCACAACTTAAAGAGATGCGACCCGGCAGCATTCATCTCAGCTGATCGTAGACTCTGAATGGTCAATCGCGTCCAGACAGTGTGGTCATTTTATCGAACGAGAATGATTCGTCTAAAACTTCAGTGGCAACTACTCGCTGGTAACCGTATCGCACTAGCGCTCTTGAAAACAAACTGAAATTTGAAATGGGGTTGATTTATTACGTTCCGAGATCCAGTGATGCTGTCAAACCCTCGGGATGACAATACCCTGCAATCAGCATGGTTTCGCGTAAAAAATGCATTAAAAAACCCACCAAACGTGAAATATGTTAAGCTTATTGGCATACACAGCGTATCATCCAAAGGCGAAGGTCAGGGATACTCTAAAAAGAAAGGTAAAATTGTCAATTTTAGGAATTAAATCATCAAATGCCAAGATTCACTGAAACCTGCTTTCTTAAACAGGACCACTTTTGATTCCATTGCTGATTGTATCAAAGTAACCGGCAGCAGCCTTAGCCGTCACTTTTAGTAAAACAACATCCATAAAGTACAATCATAAACTATCTGTGCCACGGTGCGTATTCATTTACAGCCTATGCTGAACCCGCGCATACCAAGAATCATGTGAACGTTCACGTTTGAGCATGATAATCGATTTCCCGGTCCATCTTGACCGGAATCTTCCTCTTATCCGACCAATCGAGGTCAGTTAAAACGCGGTTCGTTTATTCTCGTAATAAGCTCACTCGATCAACGGTTAAGGGTGCAGCTTGAACGGTTGATCGATCTGTCAGACCTCACCTCATCGAAACTTTGGTCCACATTGTTTAACTCAAATGCAAAAGTACTTTTGTGTGTTTATGGGAAAGATAGTTCAATTCAAGAGGATGGTCCCGGACCAACAGTTGAATGTGGCGACAGAGTCACTGTCGGCTTCCCAATAGAATGCCATTGGTGGGTTCACTTGAAGCTTCAGACCGCTATTACATATTCGCAATAGCAGTTCGTGAGGCGTTATTAATGTGCTCATATTGTCCCATTTTGTGCGCTGAACAGATACTGACGTAATCAGTTGTTCCTGTAGTGATTTCTTGTTTCGTATTTCTTCCCTTGCACTAATTTAGGAGATGAAGGAGACAGTAATCAACACAGTTCACTGCTTTCTATTTAGATTTCAAATTGTTCTACTAGTTTGCAGTATGTGGCAGGATCGTAATAAGGCGCATTTGGCATCATCCTGGCTGGATGGCAATTAGTTTTTCTCTTGGACGCATATTCCAACATCTAAGGCAGTAACCTCTCGCACACGTAAACACATTCAGGAAGTTACCCTACTTGTCGGACTAATTGAAGAAGATCTTTTTTCTCTCGCCTGTTACTCTTCTTCCAGCTTCCTTGTGTTTCCGGCTTTCAGCAGTTAATATTCGTGCTCTAATTGATGCTGTTCGCAAAGTGAGGGTTTTTTCAGTTGAGGCATCGACAAGAGCTTCGCATGTATCCAGTTATCAGGTCCACCTATCCTAATAATAACTCGTAAGCCACTCCGTGATGACGTGTGATCAGCACTAGGTAAAGTTGTTCCGGCCTTCTTCATTTTGTCCAAGACTCCGTCGTTCGCGTGGCTGTCCAATTCCTTGTATTGCGCATTTTCAGTCTTTGTCATCAGAGACCGATGAACATTATAACTGTTCGAATCGTGAACCATGTTTCCGGCACTTCCCGTTCTGTGACTGCTGTGATACGCACACGTAAACCACTAAATTCATATTCTCACAATGAGACCTTTTCCCCATCAAGCTTTAGCTGAAACCCGTAAACTTTTCAAAGGTTATTCGTCGTGTATATGGCAAACGAAACGTGAACTGAAAAGCTAGGAAGCACTGGACAGCTGTTTCGACCTGTTTGGGTCTCATCAGCAGTGCGAATCCATCGACCCCACTGGGGATCGAACCCGGGACTTCATGGGCAGAACGCAAGCCTCCATCACTCACTTGATATCAGTAGTCAGGTTGTGAAAGTTTCCAACCGAGTCATAACCATGGAGGCGCGTGCTGAGATGCGCA